CTCTTCCTCATCATCTCCATTCTCTTCCCATCATCTACACTCTCCTGAGCCCCATCATTTCACCCTCCTCCCCACCATCTTCACCCTCCTCCCCATCATCTCCACGCTCCTCCCCATCATCTCCATTCTCCTCTTCATCATCTCCACTCCACTTCCATCATCTCCACCCTCCTCCCCATCATCTGCACCCTTTAACAATTGATTATATGTCCCTATATTGAATGTAACATATTTTGTGTAACAAATTACTCTTATATTGTCTTTTTATTGTTTATATTGATTTACGTATTTATTTATATACCTATTCTTCTTTGTCTTCTTCTTTCTTTTACTTATTCTTGCTATTCTTTCTCGTTATACTCGTGAGAGGTGGAGAGGTGTAAGGGAGGTAGTAAGAGGTAATTGTTTATGTTTGATTTATTTTTTATTTTGCCGCTTACAGCGGCTACTTTATTGTGCACCCCACACTCATCCTGTGAGCGGTAGCGCAAATGGCTTACAGAGTAGAGTTTACAACGGGTCATAATATTTAACCCCCGTTGTCAGGATATTATGGCACTGAATGTTACACAGTATTTCAATTACATTATTTGTTTAGTTCTATACATAAAGGGTAACTTATTCACAAATGAGTGAGTACAGGCGTGTAAGGCAGTATGTCTGGCCTCACACTTTGTTATTCACATTTACGTGAGAAGTATTCAAGCACATTGCGTATTTGGTTCTGTACATGAGAACTGATATAGTTACTAAGTGCAAAAAAGTGGATACAATCTTAATATGTCGGCTATCTTGCCATTAGAGATGAAGTGTTGTGCCATTTCACACACAGTGTGCTTGGACCTGTCCCGAAAAGGTTCTATCTTCACACAGTCAAGGACGTAGTGTTCAAGTGTGTGGCCATATGTCTGGCCACACACTTTACATTGAGTTTTGTTTACATCTGCTTGAGGAACATACTGCCAGAGGTACTTATATCCTAACCTTAATCTAGCGGTTACAACATCTTGTAATCTAGTGATCTTGTTACTTGCTCCTTATACATGTTTCACTTGACACATTTCATCATGGTAAACTATGGATCGACTAGTGCCTGTTTGCACTAATCTACTTGCGTCAAACTCATCAATAAGTTCTTTCCTAATTACAGTTTTAAGGGTTCTTTTTGACAGACCCAAATTGTATTCAACGGTGTCTTTGTTAGACGCGAGTTTGGCGAGGGCGTCAACTCTCTCATGTTTTATGAGGCCTATGTGAGACGGGCTCCACAACAATTTGACTTTGACATCCCGGTCAACAAGGCACGCATATTTGTGTCTGGCTTCAGAGACAAGAGCGTGACAACCTGAGTCGAGGGTGCCAAGGGCAAGTGGTGAGGATAGAGAGTCAGTGATGATGAGACTGTCAGTAACAGTGGTTTCAATTAATTTAATAGCTGTGAGTATGGCAACTAATTCAGTTTGTAGAGTGGATGCCCAGTTGTTAATTCTAACTCCTTTCTCAGTTATATTACCGTCAGGTTGAGTCACAACAATAACACTTCCAGCCCTCCCACAGGCGGTGTTTAGAGATCCATCAGTGTAGATGGTCTGTGTGATATTATCATCAGTCTGTAGAGTGTGTATGTGTTCAAGAGCTCTCAATTTGGCAGTGTGTTGGAGATAAATGCTCTGTATAATTAATTTTTTAGGCGGATACGTCGGTATTGTGATATCGAAGGGAACTGTCCGCCAGGGTGGCAGGAAGCGCTGTTGTGTCTCAACTTTGTACAGGTGGTCTAGTCCAAACATCTTCATATGTGTAGCTGCAGTTTGGATCCATTTTGAGTCAGCAGTCCCATGGTTCATACATTCTAGCAATTTTAAGGAAACAATGTTATCAGGATCACCACGCAGAAGCCTCAGGGCTATCATGAGGTTGACTTCAATTATTCTATCTTTAACACTGGGTATACCTAGTTATTTCCTCATAGTAAGTACTTTAGTGCTCATGGGACATTCTAGGATAATTCTGAGGGCTTTATTTTGCATTTTCTCGAGCTTGTCAACGCCTTTTCCGTCACGAAGGACCAGGGCTGGTGCGTGGTAATCTATCAGAGATCTTATATAGCCTAGGTACATTGTTTTAACAATTCTAATATTAGCACCATAGAGCGGGCTGTACCCCGCTACACTACTAAGAGGTCTCAGTTTGTCAGTGCATTGGCGGGTTAGCTGTTGTATGGCAGGTAGGGTTACCAGCTTGTTTGTTGAACACCTTAGTTTTCTCAGTGGAGATAATAAGACCGAGGTTCTCACAGGCTGCGTATACATGGTTCAGGGTGGTTTGCATTTCACGATGAGTTTTAGCATGTATAAGAATATCATCAGCATAGCTGATTGAGATATTGCTGGGGTTGTCTGGTATTAAATTTAATAATGCATTCATAAGAACATTGAACAAAGTGGGGCTAAGTACTCCATCTTGAGGGGTACCAAGTTGCATATCTTTAACTTCACTTTTGTAACCTTGAAACAGTGCAGCGAGGGTGTGAGGAGAGGGGTGGTACAGGACTAACGGTTTGTGGTTAGGCTAGAAAGGCCTACACCAAGGGGAGACTCAGGGAAGCTGGCTAGGAGGACTAGGATATCCATACTTCACAGAGGGGAAATATAGGATAGTTATTATATACATAGGACTCACCGCATTATTGCATAATACCAAGACATTTATAACACATCACTCATTCTTAATAAGGGAGGGATGAATTAGGACTCCTATTAACGGTTACTGTATTTATTGAATTAGGGTTTAACAGCTACACTTCAAAATAATGAACCTATATTCCTAGCTAGTTAAACGGGGACCACGTATCTCACAACAAATGGGAACTTAAGGATTTACCAAATAGAATACATCAAAATACCTGCCATGTCGCCACCACAGACGTCCCACATTTCCCTACACAAAATTCCAACAGAGACGCTGCCCTTCAAACTGCGTCAGCCTACAACAGACGCCACAACTTTCATGACGTCACGCCTCATAGGCTTTCTCATTGGTCGAAGACGCGCCTAAGGCCTTCATACTATTGGCTTAAAATTGGCGGAACTCATCTCCACTCTACTACCATCATCTCCACCCTCCTCCAAATCATCTTCACCCTCTTCCCTATCCTCTCCACTCTCTTCCCTATCATCTCCACCCTCCTCCCCATCATCTCCACTCACCTCCCCATCACCTCCACTCTCTTCCCCATCATCTCCACCCTCCTCCCCATCATATCCACCCTTTTCCCCATCATCTCCACCCTCCTCCCTATCATCTCCACCCTCCTCCCTATCATCTCCACTCTCATCCCTATCATCTCCACTCTCTTCCCCATCATCTCCACCTTCCTCCCCATCATCTCCACCACCCTCCTCATCATCTTCACCCTCTTCCCTATCCTCTCCACTCTCTTCCCCACCACCTCCACTCTCTTCCCTATCATCTTCACTCTCCTCCCCATCATCTTCGCCTTCCTCCCCATCATCCTCACTCTCCTCCCCATCATCCCCACTCTCCTCCCCATCATCTCCACCGTCCTCCTCATCATATTCACTCTCTTCCCCATCATCTCCACTTTCTACCCAATCGTCTCCACCCTCCTCCCCACCATCTCCTCCCTCCTCCCCTGACGGAAATCAGCTTGTGTGTCTCTTTCATCCCCTAAAATATGTCATGAGGTCATTAGTTTTCTCCTGGCAACTGAGCGGAAATATATCGTGTTTCTCGCACAGTGTGTTGACTTCATGACTCAGTGGTCTGTAGGTCAACAATCTCTCAGCGACTCACAGTGATGGTCAGAAGGGCAATGGAATATTCACGATAGTTTGTGGAATTAGTGTATACAGTAAGTTACTTTTATGATATACCATACTAACTCTTTTAAGATTCTGTATATATACTTACTATTGTACATCTATATAAATATCCTAATCTCCTTCAGACGCTCTAAACGCTGCCAGCATCCATTTTTTGTAAGAGTTTGGTGGCTAAGTGGCATTGTTTCCTCTTCATGCTCACTGGGCTGGGGTTCGAGCTTTACCGATGCAAATTATTATGTTTTGTACGTGTGTGTATTTATTCAGTGTTTGGAAAAAGTTTCAGCGTTTTTTCTCTACTGAAAAAACAATAAGAGAGGTGATAACCGTGCCTGCAGGGTGTAGTACCAGAACACCCTCCAGGGGCTATTGCAAGGTGTCTCAGTTGTTGACCCGTCTTAACCCCGAGGTGATGGGGGCTAGTACGGTTACCCCACAACACCTGTTCCTTCTAAGAGGTCACAACCCCATTCCAAGGCGTTCATTGGCTGATTTTATGTGATTAGTTTGCCCAGTGACATTTAGTCTTCGTCACTTAGCCAAGGGCACGTCTTTGGGGCAACAAAATGTCTAGCAGCACTGTGTTTGATAAAGGATGTGGGTGTCGGTTCATTCTTAATCCTGTTTGTTTGGGACCACTGTGTTCATCTTACGTTAGCCTCATATGTTGCAGCCCAGAAGAGCAGAAACTGACAGTTGTCTCAAGACTCACATTCCATTCATTACAAGATGAGTGATAAGGAATTTCATAAAAGGTTAAGTATAACATGAGTAATATGATAGGCAAACTTACTGTGGTAACTTATGTGAGAGTAGCGTTGAAGTTGCTCATCCCGTATACACACACCTGAGAGAGATGATGCAGGGCTACAGAAATTTTCGACCGTCAACTAAAAAGAGTTCTGAAATCGCTAATTTTCAAGAGCCATCCCAAGAAAGTGTGTTTACTGTATTCACGTTGTTTTTACTTAGCTGGTGAATATTGGTGTTATTTCGTGTAAGCACTTAAAGAATTCTAAAAATTGCACAGTAGTTACTTTTCGTCTATGGAAGCCTTTAGGGTGCAGATTTTCCATTCAAAATTGGGGTTGTAGTCATTTATTTTGCATGTGTGTGCTGGTCTTTCATGTTACTGAACCTCGCTCTCTATTACAGATTACGCCTGAAGTCAACGAGCTTCGGTGTGATGTTTGCGGCCGAGAATTCGACCGACGATCACGGCTGGACGCTCACTACAAGACACACACCGGAGAAAGGCCATTCTCATGCCCATTTTGCGGCAAAAGTTTCGCCTCAAAAGGGAACTGTAACACCCATATGCGTGTTCACACCCGAGAACGGCCGTACCAGTGTCCACACTGCGAAAAACGCTTCTCCCAGCACGGTCAACTTGTCATACACATACGGCGGCACACAGGCGAGAAGCCTTATGTATGTACACATTGTAATAAGGGATTTACCTGCTCAAAAGTGCTTAAAATACACGTGAGGACACACACAGGTGAGAAACCTTTTCAGTGTGAACATTGTCAAAAAGGATTTGCTGCATACGCTAACTTAGTCGTTCATCGACGAATACACACAAGGGAGCGGCCGTACGCCTGCCATTTGTGCGGCCGCGCCTTCGAACACTCTGGGAACCTAAGTCGTCACGTTCGCGTGCACCGAGTGGACAGTGGTGTTCGATGTATCCCATGTGGTCAAGTGTTCTCCTGTGATAAAGAGCTGGTCAACCATACCGCTCAGAACCATCCTAATGAATACGCCCGCGACGACGATGTTGATCCGGAGGGTCCTTTGCCCACTGAAGCAACAACTATCAACCTACAAGATCTGGAGCAGTTCCAGCCGGCAACTGGCCTTCAATGTGTTCTGCCTCCCCCTTGTGAATCACAGCTCACCATTCTGACTCCCCTGGAGCCACCCGCCCCCTCTGAACAGATCCCTACCGTGCCGCAACCAGTAGAGGCAGAGGATGAGCCTCCGGACACTGGAGTTTGCATAACTGTGAGTGATTCTGAGGACTCAGGACGTGAGTCAGGTGGTAGTACAGGATACGCTACTTCTCCTGATCAAGCCTTTGATCGGGGGGCACACCAGTCACCAGAAACTTGCACGAAGGTGGAAGAACCGGCAACGACGACAACAGAATCATCATTACCAGTGCTGATGTCATCCCCTGTACCCCAGCGGGATACAGTGCGAGAGACTCTTAGCACGCCCTTGCCTCATGAGGCCCCTACACCGTCCCCACCCTTCCGGATGCCACCAAAGAAACAGCAGTATCCGGGGGGTGGTCGATCTCCGCTGAGCGTGTTGCGGGCGGCGCTGTCGTCCCAGCGGTCTCAACCTCCTACCACTACTCTCCCAGTGGCCAGTCAAGCAAAACCTCAGCACCTACCCGTTATTTCGTCTCCGACCATCGCACTTCCGTCTGAGCCAATCTTACAGCCTGAGACCAGCGGACCCAACTCCCCACATCTGGACATACACCAACTATCACTGAGTCATCAATCTGGGTCTGGGGGTCACATGACACCCACGGGGTTGGGTGCTGGCCCTTTCCTCCGTCCCTACTCCACCCTCCCACCAGGGACCGAGCCACAACTAGCCAACTCTCCTGAATGCATCAGTGCACCACCCTTGTACATGGCAACCTCGGTTTCGCATTCTCCTTCTCCCGTTGATTCCAACCCTCTAGACCTATCACAACCTCTGGGGTCCCACGGTCATAGTCGTACAGCAACGACGGAAAGTTCACCGCTTAATCTGTCACACAGATTGGGGGAAAGTCCTGCTGAGTCATATCCTGCGAGTTACGGAGCCCCCCATCCTCCCTCTTCCACTCACCATCTACTGGCACCCACCTCGTTAATGCCTCCACATTCCCATCACCTCCTTACGCCGGCCCTCCCATCCCCACCCACACACCGCTCTAACATCCTCAGAAGAAAGTCTGCAGATGTGGGCTACTCAGATCCTAAGAAACACAAATCCCGTAAGGTAGCTCCACCTCCTCTGATTCCTATCCATACCACAGAAAAAAAAGCCGTCAGCGTTTCAACCACGTGTCATCCACCAATACCACCAATATCATCACCACAACCTCCACAACCAGAACCCCAGCCACAACTGGCTAGCCAACAATCCTCACAACAAACAATTCCTGTCTCTTCCATACCTTCATTTGTTCCTCATCAACCTTGCACAACAATGAACGTAAGCACACACACGACACTGACTCCACCGGCCTCAATAGCTGTCACACCTGCTCATACAAGAACGATCACCACTCTGCCAACCCACGTCCCCAGCACCTTACCTACATTCCCTCGGTGGTCAGTCACCTTACCCCCGCTACGTTCTAAAGTCGAGGACACTGAGATTATCGTAGAAGCTAATCTGCCAAAGGATAAGTTCATATCACATTCTGGAAAGCCTGAAGTTCTTCTGGGGGGTTCCTGCATGTCGGAAGCCTATCTGGCGGCCCCCTCGCCCCTAGAATGCATTAGAGAGAATATCCAAAGGTCACTCCTGTCTCTGCTGCCCGAGGAGCACGAGGCTGCTGGTTTCAAGAGGAAAGTGGAGACGGCCTTAGTAGTGCTGGTTGGTGAGGCTCCCATGAGGCAACTTGGATATCCTGAAAAGACCGCTGAACAGGTAAAAGTTAAAATGAACATTCATTCTGTTGTTCTTGAGTGTGAATTCCAGAGCGTCTCTCCCTCAATAAAGTTAATTTCTTTCTTCTCTTAATATTCTGCAATGTGGCAGATGACCACCAGAAAACTTATAGTCTGTGACCATGGCAATAATATTTCCGGAGCGTAATGCTGGTGATCATATCCTTCGTGGTACCTCTAAAGCATATTTGTGTGCCTCTCTCTGAACCCTCATGAATGTACGTCTGAATTCGCTACACATGCTCCACTCTATACCAGATTATAACTGTAGTACTTATATAAACACACATACACACGGTTGACTACAAATGACATGCACACACAAAACATACATATGTATATTTACATGAACAAACTAAAGAAATGGCAAGAGAGAGAGAGAGAGAGAGAGAGAGAGAGAGAGAGAGAGAGAGAGAGAATATTCCCATTACCACCAAATCGGAGTGTGGTTAGTGTGTGGGGAGGCAATGGTCCGTGACACAACTCTTAATTACTAACAGGAAATATTATTACTATGACGAATACTTCTAAGCTAATTTCTTATTTCCTTCTAACTCACTTTATTATCTTTCTCTAATTTTTTTCTCTCATGTTTTTTCTTTACCTCATACTTCCCGTCTCATACATATTCTGTCTGTCTGTCTGTCTGCCTGGCTTTTTCTCATCACAATAAAACCTTCAATTCATTTTCTATATTTTATTTTGATCAACGTAAATCCACATGGCTGCCCCAAGTCCGTGTGTTGGCTAAACGTTAGAACATTTTCACCGTGATTTTCTTCTTTTCTTCTGCATTTATATCTCAGGAAACTTGTCTCACAGTCCATTTATATCGTACAGTCCATACTACTACTACAACTACTACTACTACTACTACTACTACTACTTCTACTTCTACTACTACTACTACTACTACTACTATTATTTTTTTTAAACTATAAATGGCCTCCATACCTTCGCCACCATTTTATTACCTTAATATTAAATATCCCAATACATAAGTCGCTATCCTAGCTGTGTCGAGTTAGTTGAGCCGCAGATCTATGCGGCATTCAGTGACTGTAGCCTCATAGTCAATATCTGCAGGAGTTCCTAAGCAAAAGGAAATTAACAATGAGATTGAAAAAATCCAAAAAAATTTAAGAACTCAAATTTATCTTCCTGCAGGTACTTATTACAATCCTGGACATGGCCGGCAAGAGCCCCTGCGCAGACGTGAGGGTGGATGAAACACAGCGTCTTAAAGTCAACATGCGCAAGTTCCTTGAGTACGGCTTCCCTTCCAGAACCAATTGGGAGGAGTTGGGCTGGAACGGCAAGTCCATTGAAACTATTATGGACAATATCATCTCCTGGATATCTCGCAGACAGTCAACAGATCTCAAGCTCTTCGGCGGAGGGCAGCTTGGGGGCGGTGTCGGTGGGATGGTAGGAGGAGGAGGAGGCTCAGTAGGGGATAATGATGACTTTAAAGTGAATGGCACTCCACTAAAGGCCTTATAGTAGAGGGTTGGTAGTCGAGGGTGATGAAGAATCAGTCAGAGTCAAGGGGGGAGATATATAGTCGCTACTTCTTTTATTGTGAATACTATGTACAAATATTTATGGTATTTATTTTGGTTTTTGTATAAAATAAATGAATGAAGATTGTAAGAGTGTAATCTGTTTCCTTTGTTATGAATTTTTTTTTCCATCTTGAGCTTGACCACAATGACAATATGACTCAGTAACTCCCATGAGAAATGTATAGTTCGCCCTTACACAAAGTTTTCAATTGGAGACTTGTTAAAGGAATTAAGCATTCGACAATGAAATGATCTCTGGTTATAATGTGAATAATTTCAATGGTTTTAATATGAAAGCAAATAAGATATATGTTGATAATAAACTTAAAGACTCAATAGTCATAATATTCGCAAGAGTAAAGTTAATATAAATGATCACTTAAGGATGATACTACCAATTAAAGAATGAAAAAATAAAAAAAATTTCACCACTACTACTACTGATAATAATAATTATAATGACAATAATAAATTGATGCACAGACGCTCAGATCGATAGAGGAAGATAAATATGTCTCTTATCCTCACTGCTGAGAGACACAGCTGCCTTGAGCCACACATCCACACGAGAGATCATTTAACCAAGTTCCCAATACCCGAGAGAGAATAAAGGTGAATAGTGAAAGTAAAGCAATACAAAAGTTGTTTGAATTGATGTCTTAGACAATGTAAATTTTATGTAAAGTGAAAACATTTGAAAATGTGGAAAGAAGGAGATGGGTGAAAAAGTCGAGCTTAAAATGACCATAATAAAGATGACATGTGGGAGTAAAGAACACAGGAAACATAAGTTAGTGAGTGTTTTGTGTGAGAACAATGTATAATTCCTTAAAGACTAAATGACAGAAAACTTCAGTAAACAAATTCGTGTGTGTGTGTGTGTGTGTGTGTGTGTGTGTGTGTGTTTACTCAGAGAAAGTGGAAAGTTCATGCACGTTGGAATGTAATCATCAGGCTTGACATTTTGTAAACTCACTGAAAACTTTGCACTTTTACTTCTAGCGTCAGAGAGTGTAAGGTCTATATAGCACCGCGGAGTGTCTTCAATATACTGCATATGACATTACCTAGATGCTGGAGTGTGATATATCTAGGGTGTGCTGATAATAAATATGCTCAGGTTTTACATTAAGACAGTGGAGTTGGAACAACTGTAGTGTTTACGTGGGCATGTGGGCAGAGTAGTACAAGTCACTTGAAGATGTGAATTACACGAAAGCGCTTGGGAACTTCGTGTTTTCTTCTTTCCTTGTGGTTATCAACATATACCTGGATCACGCGCCCCTACAGTGATTTACTTGCATATATATATATATATATATATATATATATATATATATATATATATATATATATATATATATATATATATATATATATATATATATATATATATATATATATATATACAGTATATACGAAACACGACCACCATACGTCACTGTTAAGAAACACGACCACCACACGTCGCTGTAGGAAACACGACCACCACACGTCACTGTAGGAAACACGCCACATTACTTCATCGTCACAGACTGTTTGTTGATCGTAATAGCAACAAAAACAAACAAGAACAAATGAAACACATTTATTTACAAGAATTTTTTTTTTCGTTCACACAACTACGTCACTTCCCGAGGAAAATTTCCTTGTAATTTACTTGTGTACGTCCCGGAGTGTTTAATATTGGTGTACACGTCAGGCCGTTTGTTAAGTGATGTACACGTTAGGATTATATTGGTGAGTACCTGTAAAGAAAAGTAGTTTGAGTGTGTAGGTGTTGAGTGTGTAGGTGTTGAGTGTGTAGGTGTTGAGTGTGTAGGTGTTGAGTGTGAAGGAGTTGAGTGTATAGGTGTTGAGAATGTAGGTGTAAAGTGTGTAGGTGTTGAGTGTGAAGGAGCTGAGTGTGTAGGTGTTGAGTGGGTAGGTGTTGAGTGTATAGGTGTTGAGAATGTAGGTGTTGAGTGTGTTGATGTTGAGAGGGTAGGTGTTGAGTGTGTAGGTGTTGAGTGTGTAGGTGTTGAGTGGGTAGGTGTTGAGTGTATAGGTGTTGAGAATGTAGGTGATGAGTGTGTAGGTGTTGAGTATGTAGGTGTTAGGTGTGTAGGTGTTGAGTGTGTAGGTGTTGAGTGTGTAGGTGTTGAGTGTGAAGGAGTTGAGTGTGTAGGTGTTGAGTGTGTAGGTGTTGAGTGTGTAGGTGTTGAGTGTGTAGGAGTTGAGTGTGTAGGTGTTGAGTGTGTAGGTGTTGAGTGTATAGGTGTTGAGAATGTAGATGTTGAGTGTGTTGGTGTTGAGAGTGTAGGTGTTGAGAATGTAGGTGTTGAGTGTATAGGTGTTGAGAGTTTACGTGGTGAGTGTGTAGGTGTTGAGTGTTGAGTGTGTTGCAGTGTGCATGTGAAGAGTGTGTAGGTGATAAGTGTGTAGGTGGTGAGTGTATAGGTGTTGAGTGTGTCGGTGTTGAATGTTTCGGTGTTGAATGTGTAGGTGTTGAGGGCGTAAGTGTTGAGTGTGTAGGTGTTGAGTGTTTAGTGTGTAGGTGTTGAGTGTGTAGGTGTTGAGTGTGTAGGTGTTGAGAGTGTAGATGTTGAGAGTGTAGGTGTTGGGAGTGTAGGTGTTGAGTGAGTAGGTGGTGAGTGTATAGGTGTTGAGTGTCTGGGTGTTGAGTGTGCAGGTGGTGAGAGTGTGTGTTGAGTGTGTGGGTGTTGAGGTGTGTGTGTTGAGGGTGTTGAGGTGTAGGTGTTGGAGGTGTGGGTGTTGAGGTAGGTGTTGAGGTGTAGGTGTTGAGGTGGGAGGTGTAGGTGCGGAGGTGTAGGTGTGGAGGTGTAGGTGTTGAGGTGTAGGTGTTGGAGGTGGGTGTTGGAGGTGTAGGTGCTGGAGGTAGGTGTTGGAGGTGTAGGTGTTGAGGTGTGTAGGTGTTGAGGTGCAGGTGTTGGAGGTGGGATGGTGGTGTAGGTGCTGGAGGTGTAGGTGCTGGAGGTGTAGGTGTTGAGGTGGTGTTGAGGTGTGGGGTGTTGAGGTGTAGGTGTTGAGGTAGGTGTTGAGGTGTGGGTGTTGAGGTGAAAGAGTGGGGTGTTGAGGTGTGAGGTGTTGAGGTGTAGGTGTTGGAGGTGTAGGTGTTGGGAGGTGTAGGTGTTGAGGTGTAGGTGTTGAGGTGTAGGTGTTGAGGTGGGTGGGTGTTGAGGTGTGGGTGTTGAGGTGTAGGTGTAGGTGTTAGGTGGGTGTTAGTGTGAGGAGGTGAGGTGAGGTGTAGGTGTTGAGGTGTGTTGGAGGTGTAGGTGTTGGAGGTGTGGGCTGGGAGGTGTAGGTGTTGAGGTGTAGGTGTTGAGGTGTAGGTGTTGGAGGTGTGGGTGTTGAGGTGTAGGTGTTGAGGTGTAGGTGTTGGGAGGTGTAGGTGTTGAGGTGTAGTGTTGGAGGTGTAGGTGTTGAGGTGTGGGTGTTGAGGTAGGTGTTGAGGTGTAGGTGTTGAGGTGTAGGTGTTGAGGTGTAGGTGTTGGAGGTGTAGGTGTTGGAGTGTAGGTGTTGGAGGTGTGAGGTGTAGGTGGTGTGTAGGGTGTTGAGGTGTGGGGGTGTTGAGGTGTAGGTGTTGAGGTGGTGTTGAGGTGTGGGTGCTGGAGGTGTAGGTGTTGGAGGTGTAGGTGTTGAGGTGTAGGTGTTGAGGTGTTCAGGTAGGTGTTGGAGGTGTAGGTGTTGAGGTGGGTGTTGAGGTGAGGTGTTGAGGTGTGGGTGTTGGGAGGTGTGGGTGTTGAGGTGTAGTAAGAGGTGTAGGTGTTGGAGGTGTAGGTGTTGGAGGTGTAGGTGCTGAGGTGTAGGTGGCTAGGTGTAGGTGTTGGAGGTGTAGGTGTTGGAGGTGGGTGTTGAGGTGTAGGTGTTGAGGTGTAGGTGTTGGAGGTGTAGGTGTTGAGGTGTAGGTGTTGAGGTGTGTGTTGAGGTGTGGGTGTTGAGGTGTAGGTGTTGGAGGTGGGGGAGGTGTAGGTGTTGGAGGTGTAGTGGGGTGTAGGTGTTGAGTGTAGGTGTTGAGGTGTAGGTGTTGAGGTGTGGGTGTTGGTGTGTAGGTGTTGAGGTGTAGGTGTTGAGGTGTAGGTGTTGGGAGGTGTAGGTGTTGAGGTGTAGGTGTAGTGAGGTGTAGGTGTTGAGTGTGTAGGTGTTGAGGTGGTGCTGGAGGTGTGGTGTTGAGGTAGGTGTTGAGGTGTAGGTGTTGGAGGTGCAGGTGTTGAGGTGTGGGTGTTGAGGTGTAGGTGTTGAGGTGTAGGTGTTGGAGGTGTAGGTGTTGAGGTAGGTGTTGGAGGTAGGTGTGGAGGTGTGGGGTGTTGAGGTGTAGGTGTTGAGGTGTAGGTGTTGAGGTGTGGGTGTTGAGGTGTAGGTGTTGGAGGTGTAGGTGTTGAGGTGTAGGTGTTGAGGTGGGTGTTGAGGTGGGAGGTGTAGGTGTTGAGGTGTAGGTGTTAGGTGTGAGGTGTGTGTTGAGGTGAGGTGTTGAGGTGTGTAGGTGTTGAGGTGTAGGTGTTGAGGTGTAGGTGTTGAGGTGTAGGTGTTGGAGGTGTGGGTGTTGAGGTGTAGGTCGGGTGTAGGTGTTGAGGTGTAGGTGTTGGAGGTGTAGGTGTTGAGGTGTAGGTGTTGAGGTGTAGGTGTTGAGGTGTAGGTGCGGAGGTGCAGGTGTTGGAGTGCAGGTGTTGAGTGTGCAGGTGCTGGAGGTGGTGCTGGAGGTGTAGGTGTTGGAGGGTGTAGGTGTTGAGGTGTAGGTGTTGATGTGTAGGGTGTTGAGGTGTAGGTGTTGAGGTGTGGGTGTTGAGGTGTAGGTGTTGAGGGTGTAGGTGTTGAGGTAGGTGTTGAGGTGTAGGTGTTGAGGTGTAGGTGTTGAGGTAGTAGGTGTGAGGTGTAGGTGTTGGAGGTGTAGGTGTTGGAGGTGTGTAGGTGTTGAGTGTAAGTGAGGTAGGTGTTGAGGTGTAGGTGTTGGAGGTGTAGGTGTTGAGGGGGTGGGGTGGAGG